AAATGCTTTTTATATCATCTAAAGTGAAAAAAGTAGACTACAAAATTGCATATACAATGAATTCAATTATGTTTTTAAAATATTCATAGAAAAAGATGGGAGTTTCTAGTTCAAGATGCCAGGTTTAGTATGCTTGTTTATCTCCCATCTTTCTCCAACCCATTGAAATGATGGCCGAGAAGCACCGAAGAAATAAATCCATACTAGCACTGAGAATATGAATGGAGAAGGGTGAACTCAGTAGATCAGATTAAGTTTTAGAAGACAAAAATCAAGTGTGCCAATAGTGACAGGGAAAAGAGTAGAGAAAACTGTGGCCCAAAACACACACAAGAAAAGGCAGCAGTGAAAGGGGAGCCTGAGATAGACATGCCTGGCTGCTGTGCTTGTATCTTCTGTCTGCCCGGTCAGATTCACTCTCCACCCTTGTCCCTTCAAGCCTAGAGTGGTAACAGTTTGCTGTCAAGCCCTACGTCCCTTTGTAAATACAACCTTATATTATCTTATTTTGCCTCAGCTATTTCCTGTTGGGATCCCGATGGTGGAGTCGCCTACTCAAAGCCATGCTCTTCTTCCTAACAGAACCACCCTTTTGTAAAATATCTATCCTACTCAGCTCAGCCATATGATTGGGTAGAAGCTGAACTCATTTCCAACCCCATGAAGTGAATTAAAAACCAATCTTGATGGGGTCCCATTCCTCTGGCCTGTGACTGCTTTAGCCATAGGAATGTGACACAATTCCAGCCAAAAAGAAGCGGGGGACAGCTTGTGGGGACTTCAGATAAAGGTTTTCCTCAGTGATCAAAGTGATACATAGATCTACAATATATAAAGAACTCTTTATAATTTAACAATAAAAAGACATAAATAACCCAAATAAAAAATGGGTAAAGGGTTTACTCAAAGAATAAATTTTGCCAAAGAAAGTATACAAATGGCTAAAAAGCATATGAAAAGATGCTCACATCATTAGTCATTGGGAAAACACAAATCAAAACCACAATGAGATACCACTTCACACCTACTAGGATAGCTATAACCAAAAAGATGGACAATAACAAGTATTGGAGAGGATGAGTATTAGAATTCTCATACATTGCTGGCAGGAATGTAAAAGGGTACAGCCACTTTGGAAAATAGTTTGTCAGTTCCTTAAAATATTAAACATTGGGCCGGCCCCGTGGCTTAGTGGTTAAGTGCGCGCGCTCCGCTGCTGGCGGCCCGGGTTCGGATCCCGGGCGCGCACCGATGCACCGCTTGTCTGGCCATGCTGAGGCTGCGTCC